ACGCGTTTCCTCCGCCGTTTTGAATGTCAAGTACTTTTTTTCCTTCTTTTGAGGGGAGGGAGTATCCAATACAGACATGGTTGAGTCTACGTAGACCATAGACTTGTTAAAATATCGGATACTTTTTTTTTTCCTTTTATTAACATTAAGTTTTCTGGTTGTGTTCACGGTCTCACGAGTGCATAAAATAGTGAACTGAATTCACAATGGTGAAAATACAGACATGATTGAGTCTATACAGACTATAGACGTTATTAAATGTCGGATACTTTTATTGTTTCTTTTGTTAAAATTCAGTTTTCTGGTTGTGTTCAGGGTCTCACGAGTGCATAAAATAGTTAACTGAATTCACAATGGGAAAAAAACATAGATATATATTTTTAACTTAAAAATCGCAGTCATGGTTTTATCAGTGCAAGCCTTCCTGTGATTAAAATACAACAACATTTTGTCACCGGCTCGCACCCTTTTTATAGCTTTTTAATTGACGTCCACGAAAATATGTACACCCTCCTATAAAAAGAAGGGGGTAATTATTTATTTGTATATTAGTCTATGATAATATTTATGTTTATCTAAATATTAATAAGAATACTAGAATGTTTACCTTCATTTATGATTAGTCTTGTGAAAAAAATTCCAACTTTTCCATTTGAGAGCGATATTATTGAATGTTTGTACAATGACGGCAAAAATACTGCCTGTAGAATGCAATCGTACATTTGTTTTAAAACAGAAATTGCGTCAGGAACGAACTTTTCATTAAAAACTGTTGTTTCCATCTGGAGTCTAAATTGTCTTGATTATATATTTTACCTATTCGAACGCTTCTTCTTCTGGACGCAGTTTAGTTTTTATTAAGTACACTTTCAGCCTTTGGCGGAATATTCTTCAACCGAGTTGGATTTTTAACAGTTTCATTTTGTGAAAACACTTATGTATTCTCTTTTCCACAAAAAAAGTCGTTTTCTTATCATAGCTTCCATTTTCTGTAGCTCCGCAAAATATAAACAAAGTCTCAATTGGATTCGAAACCATTAGACGAAAAGTGAATTTCCCCGAGGCATTTTATTTTCTTCTTCATTTCTTTGCGATTATCTATCTCTTAGAGAAACCGGATAGACATCATTGATTAAGTATTGCTATTTATGCTCCTATATTTGTTTCCAAATTGCTAAAACCGTAGAGGCTTAAGGGAGATGATGGTGGGACAGTGCGAGGTATACACCAAATTGTGACTGGAGGCAATTTCTTTGTGGAAACCAGGAATATATAAAATTCCTCGGTTTAATTATAGTTGTATAACCATTTTTTTCGCGGGGGAGGGGGAGCTTTATTATCAAACTACGCCACATTGACACCCATCTCTCTCTTTATTTCTATATGTCCATTTATATATCTATCTCTATGTCTCCAATCTCTGTCTCCCTCCCTCTTCCTTCTCTCTCTCTCTCTCTCTCTCTCTCTCTTTCTTATATACATTCTTCTTCATTTTATCTGTTTTAATGTATCACAGTGTTGACAGTTTGTGCTACTGTGCTGACATGATTGATGAATATGCTTTTAATACCTTCTCGTCATATTTTGCGAAGCCCCTTGCCCTTTTAAATAATAGCCATTGGAGAGTGCTAGTATGCTATCTGACTAGAATAATGGAATTAAACATTATGATTATACCGTGCTTTGATAAGTTGTGAATGAAATTCCATTGCGGCAAACTCTTTCAGCATGTTCAGCTTTTTCTCTTTCAATCACATAATATCACTCATATCTGTTTTTTTCAAGGGGGGGGGGGGTTAACATTTATAAATCGGGCCGAAAATTTCGCAACGACTCAGCCAGCCGCGGGGGGGGGGGGGGGGGGGGGGGAACAAGACACTTTTTTTTTTTTTTTTGGTCTCGTAATTTGAAAATTTGACATTTGGCTCCGTTAGGGGGAGGTTAACCCCCCCCCCCCCCCCCCCCCCCCCCCCCCCCCCCTGTGTACGCGCCTGTCTGTTAGTCACGATTGTTCATTGATATTGTATATGCGAGTAAGAACCCACTGAGATTTATTTGAGTAAATCTTCCTTCGCCGCAGAATATCATGTCCCTTGTGTGTAATAAAATGCTTGAGAGGAAATAGTGCTTTGGGAGCTGCTTATCATCCTTTAGTGTCTTCTCCTTCAATTTTACCCACGATAGCATTCGGTTGCGTAAAGGAACTACAGGACATTTCAAAATTCACGTTGAAAAGTAGGTTCATAAAGTTTCAGAAATCAGTTTTACTATTGTCAATTGATCTCTAATTTGAAATGTACCCTCATAATCATGATGCATGATTAAAAGTAATTTTCAAATAGATTTTCTCATATCACCATGGGCGGCGATTTCTTTTCATGACGGGGGGGGGGGGAGGAAATCGAAATTTTCTACAATATATACTTGTACATTTTGAAGGATATTATGAGAGGGAGCGTAGCGACTGAGCGAGAAGATTTTTGCATTTGTATTAGTTCTAAACGCTGCACTCTTGAGACCTTCAGAGCATAAAAGGGTGGTGCATTCTTTAGTCAGTATTTGTGATGTACATTATTTTTTGCACTTTTCCCAATTTTCCAGAGGGGAGGGAGGGGACGATTCACCCTAACAAAATTGAGGAGAGAGGACGTGTCCCCCAGTCCTGGAGGGGATCACCGCCTCTGTATACTACAATCAATATATACTCTTTCAACGGTTTCTTTTATTACATTCTAAAATTAATCAGTTTAACTAAGTTCATTATATGTCAAAAAGTTATAATATCAAAAGGTCGGACTACTCATTGTCATATTGTTCACAGTAGCCCATAAAGTTGGGGTTTGTCTTACATCTTTTTCATGAAATGATTATGACAATCTCGTAACATTCTCGATTATATTTCATCCATATGACTCTTTAGATTGATCAATACTCAATAAAGTTCTGAGAAGATATAAGCCATGGCTGTCAAGAATATACCATATTGTCACAGTCATTGAATAAAAAGAGGTTAAGACAAATTATTTCAACACCATGGGCAAAAGTGTATTTGTCCATCTCGCCATGAATGCGTGTACGGGTTGTTACACTTGTTTTAATGAAATAAATCTCTTTGTCTATTGCAGATGCCTATACTAACGAGGTCGACTGAACACTTACCGTGAAAGGTAAGACAGATTAATTGTAGCGCGACCAACAAATAAGGCTGAATTTTCAACGTACTCTCTTCATTAAAAATTGTTAATTGTTCAGATTTAATCTCCTCTTTAGTTCGGCAATATCTTCATGATTCAAGACGTTGAAATGCGATTCTAGTCACTCCAACTGCTGTGACCTTTGTCGTGTTAATGCATGGCTCGTGTGTATACACACATTATTGCTGTTCTTTATAAACCAAATCTCTCGTATTTCTATTGACTCTCAAACTGCTTGTAAAACGACCTGAGACCGTTATGAACAAGATTGATAGCATGATAACCATACTGTTCTTTCTATAAAGGTTCAAGAAGTTGATTAAAAAACAAAAACTCGACCAAACCCGTCATCACTTAGTTCATAAGTTTCCCATTGCAATATGCGATGGTCTTTTTGTTCTGAGTTTCAGAAGAAATATGTTGGAGGGGAAAAAAAGACGCTTTTGTATACATAAAAAGCTTTAAAACAGTACCTACAAAAACAGCTCTGCTCAACCAGTTTCCTTCTCCATTTTCATCTGACAATTTGCATGCAAATATGGGACAAACGCAACACCATTTAGTGATGATTAAGCCAAAGAAATGCATTTTCTTGTGGGCTCATTTATTTTTGGCACGACTAGCGCCTGTGGCGTACATAATACATGTAAAACGCGCAAATTCAACTTTTTTTCTCTATTATTTCATCTTAAACTCTGTTCTAAAAAAGTGGTCAATGCAAGAGTGTCAGTGCAAACAATTCTAGTGACATCGTAATTGCTTTTGTAAACATTTTAAGGATAATTTTGTAGGCCCATGGACATTTCTCCACAAAAACAGTATAATTCATCCCTATTCACACATAACACGCAATCAACCTATTTTTTCGTTAGGTTATTTTAACCTAACGAAAAAATAGCGGATCGATGCAGGAGGGGTCATGGGGTCCAGACCTCCCTTCATTTCCCCCATTATTTATTCACTTGTTTATTGTAAAGAATTGGTTATGTCATTATATTTCATCTTATTGAATTATTGCTTGTCAGGCTAAAATTCCATATCTCTCTGCTTGCTCATTAGAATACTCATCCCTCTCTCTCCACCCATTTCTCTCTAATTTCTTTAATTCCTCTGTGACGCTCTCCATTTATCTCTCTGTAATATCCCTCCTCTTTCTCCCTCTTTCCTACTTCTCTCTCTCCCCCCCTCTCTCTCTCTCCCCTCTCTCTCCCATCTCTCTCTCTCTCTCTCTCTCTCTCTCTCTATATATATATATATATCTCACTTTATATCAAGCCATCTCTCCTCCCCAACCTTGCCCTTGCTTTCACCCATTTATTAACTCCCTGATACGTTCCCCCTTTCTCTCTTTTTCTGCTTTATTTCTGTTATTGAAACACAATACGACTTGACTATATTATGCGAAGATTACATTGTTTGGTGCGTTGCAATATAATATTATGATATAACCGATGATGGTCTTGTATAATGCTACCATGTGGTTGAGATGTAGTTAAACATAAAATAGAAAATATTTTAAAAATCAAGAGAGCATCTGGAATGTACGGTCCCGAGGAGTATTAAGTAACTTCCAAAATAGCGTGAGATATACAGCAATAGGTTTTTAAATATTCATAATCTGGTCACAATCATGAATAAATAGAAGATGCAAACAAATATCAAGGGCCTGGAGCGCAACTACGAGTTTTCATTAAAAAGTACGTCGCAATCTACTTTAGATTTGGCGCGAAATAAAACAGCGACGTGCGATAATGCCTCCGTATCCTGGCGTACTGGCGGCGGAGGGTGTATTGAGGCGCACGCTGTGCAATCAGCGGTGTTCCCGCCGTCTGACTCTCTGCGGTATTCACTTTCAAGGGTCGTTGGCTCGCAAGCAGCACGCAGCAAATGCTCTTGTGCAGCGGTGCATAATGTGAGCTTAGATTTCCCGACTTTCGGATGTCTACTTTTAATGTGTTTTCTTCAACCGCACTCACTCTTTTCCCCTCAATCACACATGTTGCTTTATGTATGGATGAGTAAAAGAAAAGCACTTGTGCATTCAAATAATTGTGTTCGTCATCGCCGTCACTTTGATGGATGGATTTTACAAATAGCTGAAGCAGGAGGTTGCGAAAAGGCCATGTTTTTTTAGATTCTTAAGAAATCAAACTATGGAAGCATTTATTTGATTTTCAAAAACGTTTAAAAAGGATTGGAAACAAACACAACAGGAAGGTAAGCTACCAGTTTTGTGACCTTGTCATGTTAAACCTTATTTTGTAACAAGCATTCGTTTTCTTTTGATGTATTCTCATATCTGTGGTTTATTATTGTCAAAAGATGGATACTAAGTAACTAATATGTTTAGTCCTACCGTTTTCAATGATTATGTCGGCCCAACTTCAACGACATCCGACAATAATACTACCACAACCAACAGCGAAGCAAGCACTACAACCATAGTACGACAACCACATAGTTGAATTTTTTTCATAATGTCGCCTGTGAATTTTTAACGAATACAATTTTTCCAATAAAAAAAATGTTTTCTTTGACTCGCAGTATTTGTTTAAACAAATTTTTCGAAAAATACCATAATACCCTAGTTTTGTGTTAAACACAAAACTAGGGTTGATTTTCTCCAGTTTTGGGGAAGAGATAGGAAAGGAATTAATTTCTTGGCATCATGATTTCTGGAGTAGACAAAATTCAAGGAAAATATATTTCCACCCCTTTTTAAAAATTCAATGATAAAACATTTTAAAATAAAGTTTATTCATTTTTCTGATTAAAAAGATAAACCTCGACCTCCTGCTCGAGTCTCGATCAGAGGTCAAAAGTGTTTTCAAAAAGAAAGAAAAAAAGTAATTAGAAAATTATATTTAACAAAATGAGTCGTTGGGGCTATTTTCATTACTTCTTTTATTTCGTTTGGGCAATCAAAATGTATATCCCTACTTAGAGAGGTGATGCCCATTGAGACCAAATGTTTCCCACGATTAGCCAAGCTCGTCCCATGCAAATTGATCTAATATATTCATGATACAAAAAAATGTAAGAAGAGAAACAAATAGGAAATTTGCAGGAAACTGTCTTTAACTGATGATTACAAATATTAATTAATCAACTAATTAACTGTCTTTGCCTGCCTTACACAATGAGGGATACTATCCCATAGCCGGGGGGCAAGCTGAAAACCCCGACTTTGTTTTGACCACAGGTACAACACAAAGATCTTTCTGCAGTGACCTCAGATTTCTTACTGTTGCAAACTTTATACGTAACTCTGAGATATAAGATGAAACCTTGTCTTGAATTCATTAATGGAAAGCTAGACTATAGAAAGAACGATGGCGATGGCCATGCAATATGTACGACTGACTTGAAGTCTCATTCTACGGAACCAACACCAGTTTAGGTCTCGTCTAATGACACTGTCCTTATTTTCCCTATAGAGCATTCGTCTTAGCATATATTCCATGAGCGGAAGAAAGGAATAGGTATCCAATTGAAGATAGTGTAAGAGGGGAATTTCCCCTGTCGCCAGAAGGATACAGAGTTCAACTGTCTCCAAGAGAAGCTGAAGATGTTTATTGCGTTTGTAAAGTAAACCTGAGAATGCTTGCGTTTACCCTCGGCGGATACGACAGAGACAAACAAAAATACTGTCAATGCGGATTTAATCCGGAAAATGGGACTTTTATTCCGTTTTTCGGAAAACCTGAGTGATGTACTTGATCACCTTCCTATCATAGTAAAAATTATATCAATGTGCGATCCAGTTAAATTATGTGCAATTTATGTTTTGGAATTTAACTTCGTTTTTCTCCGTAGCCGATTTAGGCTTTGGTTTAACCTCGTAAATCAATTCAATTCAATTCATTTATTTATATAACCATCAAAATATATAAACGATCAAAATAAGTTACAAAATAAGTTATATTTTACAGAAAAGGGGTTGGTAAATTAATTTTTCAAAAGTGAATATGACACTTTGTATGAACATGGTACTTATATTACACTTAGGGATATCACTATGGCAATCAGCATGTAGTATAATGTAAATCAAATTGGACGGCCATTTTCACACACGATCCAATTTAGTTCAAAAGGCGACTGGTGTGTTATAATCTCGAGAAAAAAATTCACCCCCTGCTTTCTTATTTAAAAAATTTCAGCTTATACACTGTAATTGTTGGTTAAAAGATTGTCTAATCATAGGGTAATAATGTGGTCGACAGGCTGATAGGAAATGGCGGAACAATTTGTGCTGTTTTTGCTCAATTCTTTTTGTCAAATGTGATCGTGATTGGTCAAACCTTACCCAAGTTGGGCATGAGCTTGTCCAAAAGTTGGTCGGACACAATCATAAGGAGCCTCCTATTGGGCAGTTTCAACCCACACATTTACGCGTTATAGAACTGGCTACTAGTAAGAAGGCCATAACGCCTGTATGCTGGCAATAATGATCTTTTTTTGCGGGCAGGGGACGACACGGTGGGTGTTAAGAAAAGAAAAATAAACTGATTAAATAGTAAAACTTAATTTTTCCACCTTAATCAACCTATACAGAGGTGGATTATCTGTACATAAGATGACCTTGTACATGTTAATTTTTGCTGAAGATCAGATATGGGTTCCCGTCCAATCCCGTAATGCAAAGATTGGTAGATGATTAACATGTATTAAATGAGGCATGGCGACAGTATGATAATGCTCCTCAACTACCCTCCATTTGCTGCCTCTCAGGGACCAACGGATAATCTATCACGGGTTTGGCTACCCCCGTCATGGGCAGGAAATCCTTAGGCATCCCAGTCCCCGAACTGCACCTGTGATAACGTGTAATCCTATGCAGACACCAAACCTTGCCCGTATCCCCGAGCCGTACTATTGATCACACTCCCCATGATTAAATCGCCAATGAAGAAACAACAATCTACGCGAGAGCAGATCGAAAGCTTATCTTTTCATTCCTTCTGAAAACAAACCAGGGTTAGGCGATGAAGGAAGAAGATGAAGAACGGATCAGCGAGCAACTCAGTAAAGTGGTTGGCCCGAGAGAAAATGGAATGTTATTCCTCAGCCTGCATTAACCCAGTTCTCGGATATAGCTTCATTGTATTCTTAAGTCCCATCTTGGTATCTCCTGGGAAGCATATAAGTCATCGTAATGACGTTTACTTAACCCTTTTACTCGACCACTTCGGTACGCCATTCCTGCATTTATGCTTCATCTTTTTCCTCTTATTAATGCATTCCGTCAGAGATATTACACGGCTGCTCTGTATAAAGGACCTGTGGTGAAGTAAATGTGTGGGCGCATGATGGTGGGTGTGCGTGTGCATGGTTTGGTGTGTGTGCGTGTGTGTGTGTGTGTGTGTGTCCATGTGATAGGGGGAGCAGGAAGCACGTAGGTTTTCAACGTGGTATTCCTCTACATATTTTGATCTGTATGATAATTCGCTTTCGCATAGAAAGTAATAATTCAAATTGCTTTAACCAATCAGAACAAATTTAATATTCTTGAACCGAATGTGACAGAGATAGAAAGACATATTTATTGATCTAATTTAACCAATTCGTCGCTGTTTTCACGAAGTGACGGTAGTGGAAAAAAATTGCATTCACTTTGCGTTACGATTTTCCTCACTACCGTCACTTCGTGAAAACAACATATACGTCTTGTGAAATAATCATTTCTCCCTCACACTTCGATTCAGATCTACTTTTGAGGCAACCCCTCTCTTTTGACTAAATTTGTCCAGTACTATCGTTTTGTCGGTTGCCAATTTCCTTCGCATATAAAATCATTCCTTGTAGTGATTTATATCGCCTATAAAATGAGCTACTTGACCGCGTTGAATATGTCACAGTGCTCTCTGAGACTCGAAAGGCATGCAGACGCTTGAGTCGTATTTAAAGGTCTTCAGAAGGGGAGTGAAACAATTAGCAATGATCAGGTAAGCTGAGGAAATGGTTATCTTGTAGGCATTTTAAGAAACAGGTTTTGTACCATTTTTCAACGAGTAAGGTTACATTTTACTGATGTGTCAGCATTTTGGAGAGCAACTTTCTGAAATTTTCGCGCCAAGTTTTTAAGTGCACTTCGTACGAGCGCATAAGCTGTAATAAAGGTATTTCTGTTGGAGAAAAAGTTATGTTAAGCAGAGGAAATACCAATAGAACGGGTTATGTTGCGTTTCGTGATTGGTGTTCATTGATGCTTAGAGATAAACTTGAGTTCTGGTAAAAAAAAAAATGAATTCTCACAGAATCAATCGAAACTTACACTGAATGTTCAAGAAAATGTATACTGACTGAGTAATGAGCATAGGAAGATAAGGAAAACAAGTTAAGTAGGTCCGACACAATTTGTTTTGTCCCATATACATCGTTCTGTGTACAGTGCCTCTTACTTTACCAAGACTGGGCCAAATTTATTATGATTTTGATGACTCCAGAACCTTGCAGTACACACCAATACTGTCGCGCTAATTTTTCATGACACAATACTTTCCATTTTGCCAAATAATAATAAGTTGTTAAAGAATGACAGCTTGTTCGACCGGGTTTAACTGTTAACCCCACCATGAGCATACGAATAATAATCAAAAAATACTTAGAGAGAAGTGTGAATAATCTTTCTTACTTTATAGTAGGCCTGTGGTGTATTCTGGAGCCGATCAAAATGTAACAAATGCAAGAACTAACCTTCTGTTGGTCCGTCGCAGTATGATTGCGCAAATTCAAACAAGGGAACGTTTTAATGTCAGATGTATAGTTGTACATAAATTCGAAGTCGTCGAACCACCGACCGGAAGAAAGATTTGTCAGAGCCGTCTACTAACACTCATCACAATCAATACAATGTAGGTTGGAAATCTAGTGACGGTTTCACTACTGTGCTGATAATTCAACTGATTCGCCAATTGTTATACGGTAGTATCCAGTGCCGTGTTATGAAAACGTCACAGTTTGAACTATACATAGACTATATCCATAAGCCAGCTTATCGAGATGACATAAGGGGCGTTCACACGTACATAAAAAAGTGAGAGTTAAACAACGATTTTTTTTTCCATCGCGATCCAAAAATCAGTTTGTTTGCGGGTGTGCATTGGACAGAATAATTTGGCTAAACATGGCGATTCGCCGCATCGCGATCCAATTTACAGTTAGTCTTGCGATTTTTTTTTCTCAGAATAATCGCGATAGTTTGCCGAGCGCTGTGT